CATTAACCAGAGGGTCTTATTCAAGCATAGCCATGAGAGGCTAATGAGATATGCGTGGTATTTTGGGGAACTCATCAAGCTTCTTGCTTAACGTGTTATGTGTTATGTGTTTCAGGTACTTATCAACATCACGGGAAGGTGCCGACTTGATTGTACACACGAGACTACGTTATGAGGATCCTGGAATTTATTATTATGGACATAAGTTTTGATAATTTGATATTTTTGGGAATTCTGTGATTGTGTTAATGAGATTAATGTGCTTTTTAAATGAAAATTTTGTTTGAAAATTTACGGTGTTACAGCTAGCGACAGAGTTACCAGTATAATAAAACTTTCACAAGCCAAATACATCAAAAAAGTTTTAGAAAAGTCCAGCATGGTAGATGCAAAAGCTAGAAGTACACCATTGGCGAGTCAGTTGAGACTCACCAACAGGCAATCCCCAAAAATGGAAGAAAACAGATAATACATGGCTAAAGTTCCCTACACATTTGTAGTTGGTAGTTTAATGTATGAAATGGTTTGCACCAGACTTGACATTGCTCGTGCCGTGGGAGTTGTGAGTAGTTTTATGTCAAATCCAGGAGGACAACATTGGGAAGGAGAGAAATGGTTTCTATGCTACTTAAAAGGAAGAACTGAGTATTCCTTATGCTTAAAATGAAAAGGAGTAGTCTTAGAAGGGTTTATTGATGCAAACTTAGGTGGATGAGCAGATTTAGGCAAGAGTACAATAGGTTATGTGTTCACAATTGGAGGTAGAGCAATCAACGTATTCTTGTTTTTGTTCTAATTTTTATTTGTTTTTTTATAAAATTTCCATGATCAATAAATTAATCTCTTTCATCAACTATTCCACTACTCTACATCCCCATATTACTTTTTTTAATTCCATTACCAATATTTATCTACATTTAAATTTCAAACTGTCCATTGATGGATCAAAATATAAAGCTTGGCGTCTCTCTCTCTCTCTCTCTCTCTCTCACACACACACACACATTATCTATAAAAGAGAAAAAGTTTAGGGGAGACATGACCACATGCTAACGATGATGATGATGATGAAGATTAACATTCTATTTCTTACAAATAGTGAAAATTGCACTACAAAAGATATATAGGATAAATTTGATAAATTCTTTATTAACAAACAAATGTATCAAGCTCTTCAGCTTCCAAATACATTTCAAAACACAAAAAAGGTGCAATATTTCTCACAAACAACTGTGATACTAGCAAAAAACTTTTTGATGCTTTACAATATTGATTCTTACATCACTGAAATTTGATTGTTATTACCTGAACGACATAATTGATTTATCTTTTGTCGAATCTTCCCCTTCACTTCAAAAAATTCCTCTTATACCTGAAGGTTACATTGTCTACCATCAAAGATTCATGACTTACTTAAGGAGTAAGAAACTCACCTATCATCGAAGACATTTCATAAGAAATCCCATCTTCACAAAGAATCAATAGCTCATGCTCAGATTCCTTCTCCTTCACCTCAAAAGATTGTTGAGGACATACAAGCCCATCCACTTCCACCGTTTGAAAAAAATTTATGTTCAAAGGCACTATCACTCCACATCTTCTTTCACTAAAGAGTGTTGATACTCCACACCTGCTAATTAATACAAGGAAGGCAATAAGGGAGGAAGAAGTGTCCTCAAAGAACTACCGTACTAGTCAATATTATCTTTGGATTCGCCGAATATTGTAAAAAGGAAATAGGAGCACTTAGGTGTGAAAGCAACACATATTCTTCAAGATAATCCAAACGAAGAACTTGATGAATAACATCAAAGTAGCCCTGCGGAAACTATCACATTTTGAGTTTGTGGATTGATCTGATCCGTAGGTTATACGATGAAGACTATGTTCCATTCAAAACTTATGTAGTTATGTTTCCCCTTTTTCCATTAACCTCAAAAGATTGTTGAGGACATACAAGCCCATCCACTGCGACTATCTAAAAAAATCTACGTTCAAAGACATTATCACACCACATCTTCTTTCACCGAAGAGTCTGATACTCCACACCTGCTAATAAAAACAAGTAAGGAAATCAGGGAGGAAGAAGAAGTGTCCCCAAATACCAATCGTATTAGTTAATATTATCTTTGGATTCACCGAAGATTGTAAAAAAGAAATAGGAGCACTTAGGTGTGAAAAGCAACACATATTCTTCAAGATCATCCAAACGAAGAACTTAATGAAGAACATCAAAGTAGCCCTTCAGAAACTATCACATTTGAGTTTATGGATTGATCTGATCCGTAGGTTATCCGATGAAGACTATGTTCCATTCAAAACTTATGTTGTTATCTTTCCCCCTTGTCCATTGAGTCCAATTCCAAATTCTTCCAATGCCAATTTATATAAAAATGTTCATGGAAATGGAGGATCTGATCGCACAAAGATTCCTTATGGAAATTAAATGCTTGCAAAGACTAGGAGTGACAATTTTCGACTCAACGTGTAACCCAACATGAACTTGACACGAAAATAAACAAGTTTGAGTTGAGATTTCTAACCTATTGACACGTCAACCCGCCAACCCGTTTATTTCATGGGTTGAGTTGGGTTAAATGTTTCGGTTTACGGGTCAACCCACGAAACTAACTGTATATATTATATTAAAAAAAATTATTTATGAATTAATGGAATATTGTCAATATACAATGTGCCCTAAGTGGTTAAGTCTTAACACTCTTAACCCCAAATCCAATTCTCGACCAAGAGTTCCAGACGTGAGATGCGTATATTTTGTTGTTCATTCCATTCTAATCAATATAAAATGCTAATTATTAATTAATTAAGAGACGTGTACAATTCATATAAATTTAACATGTGAAAAGTTATCCAAAAATGATTCGTCAACTCTTTGACTTGAAATCGACTCATAACCTACGAACCCATATATTTAAACGGATTATATGGATTAAGTTGGATTGATATTTTCAACCAATCAACATTGACATGTCAACCCATATATTATATGGGTTGGGTTGAATCAACCCGTGACCCACAAACCCAAACTCAACCCAATTGTCGACTTAAGTCGAGTGACGAATTTAAAACTAAAAACTATGTGGTTTCTTATGTACATAACATTGAAAAAATATGAAAAGTTAAGTCAATAAGATAGTTCATTTTTTTTTATATATATTGTTGTATTAAAAAAAAAAAAAAAAAAAAAAAAAAAAAAAAAAAACCTAGGACGAACCTTGCGCATGAATAGCTACCCCTAGACCTAACAAAGACTTTCACCATGACAGTGACACTCTTAAGACGGAAAATGCAAGCCCAACAAAAGTATCTACATTTTTTCACTTCCATTTTTCTCTGGCTAGCGCACCTTCTTCACATGTCAACATTACTTCAGCAGTTTGATTATTTAGATATTTTTCGTTACTTGCATTCTACTTCTGAATGTATATTTACAAACTACGATAAACTAGGTGAGTTTGTTTATACTTCTATTAGTCTATATCAACAGTTATCCCTAATAACACAACAATTAAACGTGATCTTTTTTATTTTACTTTTCCTTCGAACGGTGGCACAAATATATTAGAAAGCGGCAACTAAAAAGAGTCCGAAAATAAAAAGAAACAACATTGAAAATACCAATCTAAACTAGACATCTTTGACCGATATAAAAATTGTCTAAATCGATTAATTTTGGCATAATCAACATGTTATGCAACAAAAACGATTGTTAAAATTAATTTGCTTTTAGTGAAATTTCACGTCATTAATTTACTCACACGTGCGTACATCACGTTTTGAAAATTTCACCAACATTGAAAAATTGAGAAAAAAATAATTCTATAGTCAAAGCCTGCACTCTGACCGAATAAGTCACAGTTTTATTTCTTCAAATACCGACACTTTCTCTAGATCTAATAATTATTTCACTTCATCTAACGACTCACTTTCCTCCTTATCCTCTCTCCTAATTTCTGTCCGTCCGATCAGATCCAAGTATAAATCTCCATAATAAGTCCCTCATTATATGGGTAAAATCTGTTTTATGATTACAGTTATTTAAATATTATAAAGTATTAAATTAAATTATATTGTATAAATATTTTGATATTATTTATACTCTCCGAACCAATACTCATAAAATCATATAAATCTAACCTACTCCACTTTAATAAATAATTTTGATATCTAAACTATAAGATGATCTAAACTATAAAGAACATGAAAATTATAAAGAATTTATTTGATAAAATTATTTGGAAGCTGGTAATTTATAGATAGATAGTGGTAACCGAAAGTTATAACTTTTATTTATTATTATATTAGCATTTGATAAAAATAACTAAACACTTTTAAAATGTATAAAATTACTGGCAATTGAAAGATATTATATTAATATTGTTAAAAGCAATTTTGAAAATTGATTAAAAAGACACAGTAGGTTTTAAACCTAAAAGGTCACGTCTAGTAGATTTTAGATTCAAATATTTTATATAAACTAAAAGGTAAAAAACTTGTATTTTCAAACTTTTATTTTGTTTTAAATTGAACTTTTTGATAAAATTGCTAGAAACTTTTAAAATCTATTGACATACAAGTCCAAAATATTCATAGATAAGATAACTAATTCACAAATAATATAAAATGCGATATGATATTTATGAAATCAATTTGGTATCTTATGGTTTTGTATAACTATAATATCATTTGGTGGGAAAATAATTATATATGATAAATTTAATGTAATACTTTATAAAGAAAGAAGTTGTGTTGTAAAAGCAAGATACACTTGATACAAATTCGAAATGAAGGATGTAAAATGAAACATGTCTAAACATTAGGGGGCTTGTTTGAAAATTTCATCCGTCTTATCATAGTCATCTTCACTCAGACTCTCAAATTTCGTGGATCCAATCCAAAGTCGGAGTCACACGCAGTGTCCCTTTCTCTCTCACACAAAAACACGTTTCACTGTGTGTAAATTACAATATTGCCCCCAAATGGTGGAGGCACAGTCATGGACAACTCGCCGGAGCAGCAACCCTAGGTTCGAAACCTCCGTGGACATCCCCTCCACACCGACCGGAGAAGTTCGATACGGCACCACGAACAACATCTTCGCCTCCTTCTCCGCCACATCATTCGTCTCTCCCACTATCCTCACTGCACTCATTATCGCGTCATGGTACCTCTCCAACATCGGCGTTCTCCTTCTCAATAAGTACCTCCTGAGCTTCTACGGGTATAAATATCCGATCTTCCTCACAATGCTTCATATGATCTCATGTACTTTCTACAGTCTCATCGCAATTCGTTGGTTTCAAGTCGTGCCGTTCCAGCAGATTTTATCGCGAAAACAATTTCTGAAGATCTTCGCCTTATCTGCTATTTTTTGCTTTTCGGTTGTTTGTGGAAATACGTCATTGAGATATCTACCTGTTTCGTTTAATCAAGCTATTGGCGCAACTACGCCTTTTTTCACAGCTATCTTCGCTTTCCTGATTACTTGTAAGAAGGAATCTGCTGAGGTTTACTTAGCGTTAATGCCTGTCGTTTTCGGTATAGTTTTGGCGAGTAATAGCGAGCCTTTGTTTCATTTGTTTGGTTTTTTGATGTGTGTGGGATCGACCGCCGGCAGAGCGTTGAAATCGGTGGTGCAAGGGTTATTGTTGACTTCAGATTCGGAGAAACTCCATTCGATGAACCTATTGTTGTATATGGCGCCAATGGCAGCCATGATATTATTACCTCTCACTTTGTACATAGAAGGAAACGTGTTCTCAAAGACAATTGATAAAGCGAGAAACGATTCGTTTATGGTGTTTTTGTTGATCGGAAATGCTACGGTGGCGTATTTGGTGAACTTGACGAACTTTCTGGTCACAAAACACACGAGTGCCCTGACTTTGCAGGTGCTCGGAAACGCCAAGGCGGCTGTAGCGGCGGTGGTGTCTGTTTTAATTTTTAAGAATCCGGTGAATGTTATGGGAATTTCAGGGTTCGCCGTGACAATAATGGGAGTGGTTCTTTACAGTGAAGCAAAAAAGAGATCGAAAGTTACAGCTCATTGACAACCAAAAAGATAACACTGGTGCGAATTCTCTGTTCTCTTGTTCTTCATCTGATATGCCTTTAAAATTTTCAGTTAGTTTACATTTCTCAAAAAGGCCTAAAGAGAAATTGGTATAAAGAAAAAGCAAAGAACATAATTCGATTCGATTGCATCAAAATATGATCATTTGAATTGGCAAAAAGGAAAAACGGGGCTGTGTTTTCTTCCTGTTTCTTTTCCAAAATTCTGCTTTATTACAAATTTGCATAGTTGTTCTTGATTAAGGCAGTTTGATAGGGGAGAAAAAACAATCTTCTTTTTGCCTTCTGTTTGTAACACGAATTACATGAAAAATTCCTCAAATTATATCCTTTTGTGGTTGTTACTTGTATAAAGATCAATTCCCAACTTGATTTTATTGTTTAATTGTCTGTTTTCCAATCTAATTCGATTTCTTACGTGATCAAAACATCAATTTTTTTTTTTTCTTGATATGTGATCATAATATGCGTCATCAACCTTGTGAACAAATGTTCAAATTGGATAAGGTACTCTGCTTTCATGTGCCAATATGCCTTTGATCAATGGCCAAATTACATGACCCTTACCCTTAAGAGCATCTAAATTACAATATTGCCCCTACATGACCCACATGGAGACATGCCCTTCTTTGCTTTTAAGTTATGGTAGTAGTTGCCCTTTCTTTAACTTCTACCCCACCATACTAAGATCCAATTTATTGTGTTAGTTGGCTTTCCTAAAATAATATCATCCCAAACCAAATAAATATCGAGAAAATATATTATTTCTCTTTTGGTGAAATTGAATTGTGTTCATAGTTTTTCAATTTTAACTTGTTGAAGAGTATTTAATTATTCTGATTGTTAATTAAAAGCCACTCATGTCTGGTCAATTTGTGGAATTCTCTTTGAACAGGGTGAGTATATATTTAATTTAATTTGTGCCATGAAGTTTTATGATTTTTTGTTTTATATATAAGCTGAAAAAAGTTACATTGATCATTGTTACATATCTAAAATTCATAGTAATACTATCTGTTTGTGATGATTATCTGACAATTGGGTTGGGTTCGGGTTGTCGGGTCATGAATCAGAATATATTGATCCAACCCAACCCATATAATTAACATCAACCCAACCAAACCCACATAATCCGTTTAAGTATATAAGTTCGTGGGATCGTGGGTTAGTGGGTCATTTTTGGGTAACTTTTCACATGTTAAATTTATATGTCACTAAATTAATTAATAATTAACATTTTACATTTGTTAGAATGAAATGAACAACCAAATATGAATCTAACATAATAACTCAATAAATAATAATTTGGAAAACAAAAACCAAGTTTCCAACATAAAGTCATTAAGTCATAAACATTCAAATGAAATTGAAAACATTCAATCAAAATGCAATTGTGTCGAATATTCCATTGATTCATAAATAAAATTTTAGTTTTTTTAAATAGTATAATTTATAGTCGGGTTGGTAGGTTGACCCGCGAACCCAAATAACTAACCCAACCCAACCCATAAAATAAACGGGTTTGTGGGTTGGCGCGTCAAAAAATCTCAACCAAAATCTGTTTATTTTCGTGTTGGGTTCATGTCGATTTACGGGTTGCGTTGAGAATTGTCACTCCTAATAAAAACATCGGGGAATCGTTTTCAAACTTTTTATGTTTATTTGCACAAATTATTGCAATTTTGGACTATTAGAGGTACATTATGTTTTGCGAATCAAAATTGGCTTATTTTTCAAGTTTTTTTTATATTATTATGTTTCGAAAACTAAAAAATAGCTTATAAGCTAGTTTTTAAAAAACTATTTAAAATAGCTTTTTAGAAATTTTATAAAAAAATCTCAAATATACCCCTAATTAATTATAGAAAACATACTTTTCTAAATGTCTTTTTAAGTGATTTTATATATTTCACCTCCTTTTTGTCAAATGTTATTTTTATTAGCTAACTTTTTAACTAACAATTAATTTTTCAGCTATCAATCGGGTAGTTTTTTAGTTACCACGTCAAACATAGCCTTATCATGGGGTACTATTTGCTATATATTTCTAATTTTTCTTGTGTCAAGATTTGTTTAAGTTCTTGAGCTATTTTGATACATTAATTGAAAATTTTAGGGCTGAGCATGGTATAGTATTAATTTACAATTAATTTACAGTACCAATTTATTTTATAGTTAAACCGTGTACCATATAAACTATAATTGATACATAATTTTTGCTACAAATACATACCAAATATATTTGGTATGAACTGTATGACTACCAACAAGTTCGGTTGTAATAGTTAAAGATAGTTAATAATACGAGACAATTCTCTTGTCTAGTAATATAAATTAGTAAAGTTACTATTTAGTTACTAAATAATTTTGTTAAGTAACTTTAAAATAACTTTTCACTCATTAAAAAAAAAAACTTTTCACTCGTTAAATAAAATGTGGTAATAACTATTTACTATGCCTAATGATTAATATCGTGCATTTAAATTGTAACTGTGACTTTCAAAATGTAATAATATGACCGTATAAAGTTTACTGAATTGGTATAGTACTCTCAATCAAACATATTGGTAACTTTTTTTTTCGGTTGGTAACATATTAGTTGGTTTTGCGTGTACATATTTTACAACCCTGCAAAAATTATTTGTTAGATGCTAAGTTAGCTCGTAAAAAAAATTATTTAATAATGACTAACTTGCTAACAAATGTAAAATTACATAAATGACAAATGTAAAACAAAAATTCTCCGCAATGTCTCACCATGATCTCTCTTTTGACAACAAGTTCGTATATAAGAATATTCCAACATTTTCTTTTACCCATATGTTAATTAAAAATTACTCTAATTTGTATTATGTTTACAGCCAATTATACCAATGAAATTGAAAATTTTAATTGAAAATGCTTCAAATGAGCTTATAGTTTTAACATCTTATTAAATATAGTAATTTTATATTAAGAAGTTGATTGCAAAAAAGTGAAGATATTTAGGGTGCGTTTAGTTGCGGAAAAATGGGCCGTTTTCCGGAAAATTTTTCCAAGAAAAATAAGAATTTTGAAAACGCGTTTAGTTCGTTTATTTTTCTAAATTTTTCACGGAAAATGAAAATTTTCCGTTTTCTAAAATTACAAAGAAGTTCGAAAATTTTGGAAAACTATAATCATTATTTTCCATATTTTTTTAATTCAAAAATTTTTCTATAAACACACACCCACTTCACCCCATCCACTTCTACCTACCCCCACCTTAACACCCCCCACCCACACACATACATACCCATCCACACACACACCCGCACACACACACACACACCAACCCACAAACACACACACCCCAACCCACACACACATATATACCCCCCTACACACACACCAACCCACACACACACACACATACATACCCACACACACACACCCACCCGCACACACACACACATACATACCCATCCACATACACACTCACAAACACACCCACATACATACCCACCCACCCACACACACCCACCAACATACACACGCACACACCAACCCACACACACACACCCACCCACAAACACACACACACACACCAACCCACAAACATACACACACATACATACCCACCCATACACACACACACCCGCACACACAGACACACACCAACCCACACACACACATACATACCCACACACCCACACACACACCCACACCTACCCTCACCCCCACCGTCACAGACACACACACACTCACCTACAAACACACACACACACACACCCCCACACAAACACACACACACATACATACTCACCCATACACACACACCTGCGCAAACACACACACCAACCCACACACACATACATACCCACACACCCACACACACACCCACACCTACCCCCACCCCTACCCTCACAGACACACACACCCACACACACACAAACCTACACCTACCCCCACAAACACACATATACACACTCGCACCCCCACCCACCCAATACCACCACAACAATCACCGACCTACTATCACCACCACCACCACTAACCCGTCACTAGCACCACCACCATCACTACCACTGACAAAATTGACGCCGCCACCACCATCGCCTGTCATCACCACCACCGCCGTCGACCCGCTACCGTCACCGCCCCCACCCAAACCCTACTATCACTACCGTTTTTTTAAAAATGAAAACCGATAGAAAAATAGACATCTAAACACGTTTTCTAATTTTCTAAAACTGAAAATGAAAAATGAATAAGTTTTAACTAAACGCGTTTTCTAAATTTTTCAATGAAAAATGAAAATTGAAAAGGGAAAACAAAAAACGGAAAATGAAAATTGTTTTTCCGTAACTAAATGCAACTTTAAGTATTTTATTTTAATATATAGTAAACTCCTCCAAATACCTAGCGCAACGCAACTACAGATAGGATATTCCAACTCATTTTATTGATATGTATCAATTTATGTTCCTTTTTAAAAGAACAATATTTTATTACAAAACAAAGAGGCTAGAAAAATACACAGGATAACTAGAATAGGTTTTGAAACCACTCAACCCAACTTGCTTTAATCTCATTTTTTCTATACAAAAACCAATTATATGAAAATCAACTATGTTATAAAAAAGTAAAGCCTTAACTGACATTTAATCTCCAAATAACACACCATTTCGATATCTTCATATCAACCATAACGTCGTACAAATAATCGAATCTAACACTTCTTTCTTATGCATATTAATTGAGAAAGCTTAAGCCAAGTAAAAAGATCATGTAAAGTATCCATACACGACAACACAACATCCACCCAACGAAAAACCCTTTGGCATATAGACTATAGTCATCGCCAAATCACATTTGATCAGAGTGGGATCAATCGCCTCCACATGATTCATAAAAACAGGACATGCTAAAGACACTATATTAATTCCTATTCAACTCAAGTTCCATCGGGTTTGTAAATGATCAATTAAAGCATGCCAAAGGAAGATATTTACCTTCC